TTAAGGGGCTGGAGGACTGAAATCTCGATGCTCACGTCTAAAAATGTACCATCTCATGAATATTAATTCTGACGATGTCAGGGGGACAAGATGCAGGGACGCAGACGTATTTAGAACCGTATTCTTAGTTGTTCCTAATGTAGCTTCTTTCCTGAGGGAGGTCCTTGTAGTTTGCATTTTGACTAATGAATTTTTAAGGATTCCTTCAATCTGTACAGATAATTAATGGTTTAAAAAAATCATGTGCCTATAAAGCATTGAGTTACAATTGTTTTTCCTTGTAATGTGATAACGAAGTGTTGCTGAAGTACAGGGGGTTGCAAAAAGTAAAGAAAAACCACTGATTAAGCCGTGAAATTGATATTGATTGTAAGTTGAGATTTAAGAAAGTCATGATTGAAATAGCTGCCTGCTTAAGTGAGAAAATGGCCCGCCTCTTTATAATAAAAATAGTTTCTTAATTTCTAGGCTGGAAGGAGCAGGGGCCCTAATTAGGGAACAATGGTATCTTCATTAATTTTGGGTCTAAATGGGTGGCCCTCTTAAGGGCCAAATACTGCTATATCGACGGCGTAAGTCCGCAATCACATATCTCGTTTGCGGTGTCTGAAAATGTCCGCCTCTATGATATTTTTTACAGGAGAATAAATTGACATCATTCCTTGAAGTTTTTACCGAATTTTCTTCGCACAGAGAAGAAAAAACACGGCAGTTTTAAAGAATTGCCGGTGAGTAGTTTTCCGTTTGAAAAATGAAGTGTGACAGGAAGTCTGCGACAACGCACACCGAGTTATGTGATTGCCGACTTTCACCGTCGATATGTACATAGTGACCTTACTCCACTAGAATCATCATGACAAGAAATATTCTGGTCTCTTTCGAAAATTTCGGCGCATCTGGAGAACTCTGATCAATGTTGTCTATATGTAGCCATTTCTGCTCTTTTAATATTTTCCTCACCTACATCCGACATTCCGACACACTAGTACATTTTTCACACTTGTCTTTTTAGGGTACATGAAATCCTAAATTCAATTGACTAAAAACGTAGCAGTAAACTCTACCTGCAGTAGGTATTCTATCATTTGTGATACAATTTAATTTATACAACCTATACCAATTGGTAATGTTTCCAATATCTGATGGCAGATAGAGCTTTTTAACGTTTTACCTTCGGTCTCATTCTTAAAGGAGCAAAAACTGTCTTGAGTTTTACACTCATACACTTTAAAATTGTAAACAGAAACTTTCCTTGAAAATCCCAGTAGCATGTTATCCCCATGGGGAGTGCTGAGGACTCTCTGAAGATCAAAGGATATATCGACGGTGTAAGTCGGCAAACACATAACTCGTTTGCGGTGTCTGAAAATTTCCGCCTCTATGATATTTTTTAAAGGAGAATAAATGGACATCATTCCTTGAAGTTTTTGCCGAATTTTCTTCGCACAGGGAAGGAAAAACACGGCAGTTTTAAAGAATTGCCGGTGAGTAGTTTTCCGTCTGAAAAATGAAGTGTGACAGGGAGTCTGCGACTTCGCAAACCGAGTTATGTGATTGCCGACTTATATCGTCGATTTGTAATTACAATTTACATCATAATAATAATCTTTCTTTCAACTTTAATTTTTCTTTGAATTTTTATTTAAGCAAGTATGATGTGTATTACTGACTTCTTGTGACCCATCAGTAATACTCATACCGGAAGTGTTCACTCTTCCGAGTTAATAAAAATGAAGGGGGGGGGGGAGACGGAAAAAAAGCCAAACCTCTGTGTGCCGTGAACTCCTCTCAGCTTAAAGCCCTTTCAATTTGTTGGTCATCATCAAAGCAATCTCTTAAAGTCGAAAATAAAAGTACACTAACGATATGTACTTTTTTCTTCTTCTTCTTCTTCATCTTCGCACAAAATAAACACTCTCACGATTCAAAAATCATTCACCCGAAAGCAAACTTTTATCCTCTGTGGATGTAGGTCCTTGATGAAATTGTCGTATTTCTGCCAAACGGAACTATGTGCATTATGACGTGAGCTCTGTTACGCACATATTCTTATGGGTTTCAGGGGTCATGTCTCAATTCACATAGTTCCGTTTGGCGAAAATACGTTCAAATGATCACTCATCCAACCGTGCGGAATATTTTCCGATCGACACTGCCTGACAATTTCGTCTACCAGCTCTGACTCCATCCTCAAGCTCTTAATGTTGAAAAGGTCAAGAGGTCCTCAAAGCAGCGGCAATTGTGTAAGCTTGATGCCAGAAACTTTCGCAATATTGTGGGATTCCTCGACGGGACTGAGTGATAAGCGGATTAGTCAATTAACGGCGACGCTTTGGGGCAATATCCAATCAGGCAAGGCCTCAGTTTGTGCTGGCTCTTCGTAAAGGTCAATTGAATTCCAATCGTGATATTTCGAGTGTCCCGCCGGACAAGAGTACTCCGTTATAATTATCTATTTATAAAGGCTTTTAGACGCGAACAAAGAAAGGAAGAGGAGAATCGGAAAAAATATTGTCTTGCCCATCGATTCATTTGAAAGCACCTCTAAAGTCTGTCATTGCCACGTATTAAGTTAGTTGGGTAAAAACAGGAATTTAAGGCCAGTAAACGTTACCTGTCAACACTTTTGATTCGGGTTGATCCGCTTGATCCGGAGGGTTTTTCCCGATGCGTCGTTTCTTCATGGTCGTTTCTTTGGAATGGTAGACTCGAGACCTAAGAAAAAAAAAATATTGAAATCAACAACTTGTTCAGTGTTTATTTAAGTTTCATCCACCTGAACCTGACTTTTGACGGACGTCACCAAACATCCAAGGGGGTACTAATAAGGGCTGGGACTGTTATGAGTAACTTACCTGCAGATTATGGAGATCTATACAAGCTCTGTGACAATTTGCGAGACGATGTTCAGTTCCTTTCTGAATTTATTCACTTCCTGTGGCCTACGTCTCTAAATTGGATTACATTTTGCGAGGAACCAATATTTCTAGCCCATTTTAGAAACAACATACGTGCCATTGGTTTCCCTATGCCGATATGTGTTTTAATGGGAGAGCCAGGGATAGTGGTTCCTTATCGCAAAATGTAATCCAATTGTGCGTGGATGGAATCGGGGGCATCAGGATCTGAGAAATATTTTGGCATTGTATTTTAGAATATTTAAAGAACGGGGGCTTATTCAACGTCATGAGAACAAGAAGAATTAAGTAGATTTTTCCACTGTGTATAAACCTTAGTAGAGGTCGCAGTTTCTTCAGGAGTGCTGCCAAAAAAAGAGCCTTGTTAAAAATGGGTCGAAATTCGCCCCTTTTTAGGCCCTCGATTTCGCAAACGAGAATTGCGCCAAATTGTTGCATATGATGCCCTAAGTCTCTGGTAAAAATTTCAGCTTGAGTTGAGAAGTGGTTTCGGAGATACGGGGGGATGAAGTGGGGGAGTTGAGCGGCTGGCGTGCGATCTTTCCGCGGCTGTTCCTCGCCAAATCTTCGTTTTGATGTCACCCGTGTTTTTCTATGTAATTTTTCGTGTACCTTCCATTTTCCAAAATTACTTACAACCACTTTTCAAGGCGCTAGGGGGTGAAAATAGGGGTTGAACGGCCAGCGGTGCACTGAGAAAAAACTATGGCTTATAAACCTATTAGAGGTAAATATGGAACACCACTAATAGTAGTACCTCTACATATAATAATAGCACATATACCTTAGTTATGGTCTCTGTACCTTAATTAGGTACAGAGACCTTAGTATGGTTCACAGACCGAGAATCATTAGTTTATTTACGACTATTATAGGTGTTCCATATTTACCACTAATAGGTTTATAAACCATAGCTTTTTCTCAGTGTGCGCTCTTTCCTTGGCTGTTCCTCGCCAAATCTTCGTTTTGATGTCACCCATCACATGTTTTCCTATGTAACTTTTCGCGGACTTTCCGTTGGGACCTCTTTTCTCTCTATAACACTTGCCAGGAAGCTCTTGATCAGTCAGCTTCAGCAAGAGGTTGAATCAAGATGGCACATGGCGCTCAATCATCTCGTTTACCTTGCGAGATTCCTATTTAAAAAGCTCAAAGCTGGAATGACTGTTCAACAACATCGTCTCGTCCTCTCGCTTCACAAGCTGGGGGTTTTCACGCTGAAGAGTCTTACACCGGTGGTATAGCCCGCGGCGGTAAAACCCGCCCTCGCGCTGACTTCAACGTCATGCATCGCACGCATCCTTATGCCCAGCTCCAAGTGGTATTCCAGCAGCTGAGAACTGTTTAAATTGGCCCGGCGTAATGAGAGCAAATTAACTATTTTTGCAATTTCCTCGATCCCATCCAATCAATAAGGAAATTGAAAAAATAGGCTGAACTCTGCACACTTGAAGCTTTCTTTGTTGAGGGAGGTATCAAAATAGGTGATCATCCGAATGTTGAAGGAAAGGGTACGAACCATGGAGGAATCAGTTTCAACCAGGATCATACATTCATTCGCCTCCTTTATGCGCCCGATCAGTGGTTAACTGAAGGTATTCAGCCGCCCGATCAGTGGCTAACCGAAGGTATTCAGCCGCCCGTCGTGCTAAGGGCAAGCGTAGGCGCCCGGCGTGGTCTGCGGCGTCGCTGCTTTATGTAGATTCGCTCGCCGGTTACTTATTCAACCACTCAAAATACGAGAACACGCGTAAAATTTTCGCTCTGAAAGGCGAAAGCTCTGGAAATTCCACTGGGAATGACCTTTTATTTGTCCTCTGAAATGCATTTTTAAAATCTATCCCTAAATCGCTAAGGCGGAGGGCTCCAGAGTTGACTTAGGCGCTTCAAATTCTGTATACGCGCGTTATCCTGACATGGTAATACAACTTTTTTTCAACATGATTCATACGTTATCCTGACATGGTAATACAACTTTTTTTCAACATGATTCATTTCCGGGAAAAAATTGCTCTTTTGCGATCCGGGCTATGAATGGTGTGACGCATGAATGTTTTTCATGGCATCTCTTTAATTTTGCAGATCGTGACGAAGCGTGGGACTCGAGTGCCGATAGTGGTGGTAGGGAATAAAGCGGAGCTTCACTACCGAGCAGTGCCTAAAGAGTTGGCCGAGACGACTGCCGAGTACGACTGGGACTGCGGCTACGTCGAGTGCTCGGCCAAAGAGAACCAGAACATCGTCCAAGTCTTCAAGGAACTCCTCGCTCAAGCTAAGGTAAGCGCCTAGCGCCGCACTCTCCATCCTTCATTCCCTCCGCTACGCTTCTTTCTCCAACTTTCGCCAGATTACTATCAAGAGTTGTGCTCTATACTTTCTACAATCTCTGCAGAATGAGAATCTCTGCATTCATGAAGCAGGGTGTCTTCAAGTTCGGAAATATTACTGATTTTCCAAAGGCGGTCCGGAAGTACTGAAAAAGTGCGGAAAGAGCCTCGCCAAAAAGTGGTGTTTTTTAGCCCCTTTTTTTATACCCGAGTTGGTCAACCGGACAGTGCTCAAATGAAAGCCAATGGTAAGGCAAACTTCCATGCAAAGTTTCAACTTGAAGTGACCCCTCGTTTAGGCTGTACAGCGTTGCCAATTTTCCAGTTTCATGTGCTAAAATCAAGAATATTGGACTATTAGTCCGGTGCATAAGTAGACTAGTACACCCGAGTTGGTCAACGGGACAAGGCTCAAAAGAAACCTTAAGACAAACTTCCATGCAAAGTTTCGACTTGAAGTGAAACCTCGTTTAAGCTGTACAGCGTCGCCAATTTTTCATTTTTATGCGCTATACTCACGAAATACTGAATCATCATGGTTTAACAGGCTAGTATACCCGAGTTGGTCAACGGGACAAGGCTCAAACGAAAGCTTATGGTAAGGCGAACTTCCAGGAAAAGTTTCAACTTGAAGTGAAACCTCGTTTAGGCTGTACAGCGTTGCCAATTTTTCATTTTTATGCGCTATACTCACGAAATACTGGATTCGTCATGGTTGAACAGACTAGTATACCCGAATTGGTCAACGGGACAAGGCCTAAACGAAAGCTTATGGTAAGGCGAACTTCCAGGAAAAGTTTCAACTTGAAGTGAAAACTCGTTTAGGCTGTACAGCGTTGCCAATTTTTCATTATTATGCGCTACACTCACGAAATACTGGATTCATCATGGTTGAAGTTGAACAGACTAGTATACCCAAATTGGTCAACGGGACAAGGCTCAAAAGAAAGCTTATGGTAAGGCAAACTTCCAGGAAAAGTTTCAACTTGAAGTGAAACCTCGTTTAGGCTCTACAGCGTTGCCAATTTTCCATATTTATGTGCTAAAATCAATGAATTCGGGACTAATAGTCCAGTGCATCATAATTAAACAGACTAGTGCATCGGTCTACGAGCTGAATACTACCCTGAGATCGAATAGAAGCGCAACTAAAGGCCAGCGTGAACTTTTCGAAGCAGTGTTGCCAATTTTTTATTAATTTTTTTTTACATAAAATTAGGGTTTTTTCGAGATTTTTGGCGGAAAACGTACCTTCATGGGCTATAACTTCAAAGTGAAACTTTTCCCGGAAGTTTGCCTTACCATAAGGTTTCTTTTGAGCTTGTCCCGTTGACCAATTCGGGTATACTAGTCCGTTGAACCATGATGATTCAGTATTTCGTGAGTATAGCGCATAAAAATGAAAAATTGGCGACGCTGTACAGCCTAAACGAGGTTTCACTTCAAGTTGAAACTTTTCCTGGAAGTTTGCCTTACCATAAGCTTTCGTTTGAGCCTTGTCCCGTTGACCAACTCGGGTGTACTAGTCTATTTATGCACCGGACTAATAGTCCAATATCCTTGATTTTAGCACATGAAACTGGAAAATTGGCAACGCTGCACAGCCTAAACGAGGGGTCACTTCAAGTTGAAACTTTGCATGGAAGTTTGCCTTACCATAGGCTTTCATTTGAGCACTGTCCGGTTGACCAACTCGGGTATAAAAAAAAGGGGCTAAACTTGGCGAGGCTCTTTTGCAAGAAAGTCTGGAATTTCTTTAATTTTTGTCGCAATTTGAGCGGAAAATTCGAATTTTTGAAATGTTTCGTTTTTCGTCGGTTGAAGGTATTGAAAAAGTACAGAATTTTTTCAGTTGAGGAGGCATTGAATTTCTTGGGAATGTACCGAAAAAGTACTATAAAAGTACTGATTTTGGGCCAGCCTGTTTTAGTAGACACCCTGAGAAATGATTTAATTTCCACGTAATGCGATGATCATTTCGGAATTTATTAATGTATATATTTATTTCGAGTTCCTTATAAGCTTTACAAAAATCGTGAACACGAAAGGTATTAAAAATTAAACATAAATAGGTACAATAAGAATAAGGTGTAACAGCGAAAGGAAAGGTAAAGGGATGGAGAGAACCGGAACTGCAATTCAGCATGACATCAGCTGCTCCATCCACCTTCTATAAGAAGGCTTTTACATGGAAAAATGGGCTAATAGTAATGAAAACATCGAGAAATAGTAATTTCAAAAAGGGGGTCGCTTAACTTCAAGACCCTTATTATTTATCGGAATTTATTAATGCCATCCTTAGGTCTTCTCAGGGTTTCTACTGTACGGAAAAGGTACGGATTTTCAGTGGAGAGGTACGAAAATTCGATTCGTGATGAGCTCTAATAAGTAGTCCCGGGGATATGCAATTTCCCATCCAAATTCATTGCTCGTCTTTTTCGGTTTATTCCTTTATCACTCGATCATTCCACTTTTCCAATCCGTTACAGTTGAAAATGCTTGTGAAGTAAGGAAAGGGTAAAGAAAAATCAAGGATTTTCGAGAATTGTCAGTAAAAAGAATTTTCGGTAAAGTAAGAAAAAAGCAGGGAAAAGGTATTAGAAAAGCCAGGAATTTTGATGACAAAGCACCAGTAGACACCCTGTCTTTTGCTGGGCTTGAATTGTAATTTTCTTGATTTGTAATTGAATTTTCTTATAATACAACAGTTTGTGCTGAAAAAAAGGAAACAATTTTGATTGGAGTGACGGCGCAGCGTACTTGCTGTGGGCGGCAGAATGAAAAACACGTTATAATGCGAGTCGGTCATTTCGCACGGTTATCAGTCATATGTTGCTGGCCAAAATGCGTTTTGATGGTTGAGGAAGCAACGATCGAAACTCGAAACGATCTTGAATGAAGCTGATGGTCATATACTTCAACCTAGCAAGTCGATTTTGCATGGCAAGGCTCTCGTGGGGTGTGGCGTGAGGGGGAAAAGACCGGAGTCGTAAATTTGCCAATATCAATTTTCTCTCCGTTTTGTATTTTTCATCCATGATGAGGAGCGTTTTCCCCACGCGATGAGATGCAAATGCACCGTAAGTTTTTAAGCTCATAATCGAGTGCCTGTAAAATCATGTAAATCGATTTGGTTGATTTTCAAATTGACCTACTTCCGCGTCTCATGGTCGCGCGTTGCCGAACCGAGCCGATAATAACCAGTGGCGTGGCGTGCTTTGCGATCTATCGATATTTTCCCATTTGAAGCTGTGGTAAATAATCGATTATTAAGGTGTTCGCCGCGAACACCCTGTAAATCGATACTTTTACATAGGTTTAAAGGGCCGATCAATCGATATATCGCAAAGCACGCCACGCCACTGATAATAACGTAGAATCTCCGATGGAGACGGAGGCTCTGAAGTTGCAAATAACTGCTTGGATCTGAAATTTTAAGCCTCGCTGAAGCCGCAAAAAATTTACGGATTTTGACATCGTGAATAATGAGTGGGCCTATATTTTTACGAGTGCGCATTGTTGAAAAAATAAAGTGTTTTTATTTTCCTTTTTTTCTTTTTGTTTTTTTTTTTTCAAAATCAAGAATTCATTTACGAGTGGTTTCACGATAACTGGAATAGTTTTGTCGCCGTAACAGACAACACATTTTTCGGTCATCGCTTTCTAATGAATTATTGCTTTACTTTTCAATGAATATTAAGTAAATTCCGAAAATGTGCTGTCTGTTACGCGGTAAAAAGTCAGCGTAACAGACAGCACATTTTCGGACATTTATACATTAAAATTGAAAAGTAGAGCGATAAATCTTTGAAAAACGTTATAACGCGTAACCCTGTGTAGATTAATTCAAAAAAATTCGAGTGATCATCAGTACTACTAAAAATATGACCGAAAAATGTGTTGTCTGTTACGGCGACTAAACTATTCCAGTTATCGTGAAACCACCCTTACAAGCTTTAATTTCTGGACAGAACTCTATAGAGCTTAAGACCCAATTTGAGTTTGTAATGGACCACTAGACAAGGTACGAATTTAAGCAATCTGATAAATGTTTCTTAACCAGAATTTCACGTAAAACACGATTCGCGCAACGAAAATCACTGAAACTAACTCCTAACGAAGATATTATCGTTTTTATTTCACATTGGTTACGAGGAATTTGCACTGCCCGCTCTCAAGAAACTCAAAGCTCTACGTGAGTCAAATCGCTCACTACAACGGTTTCAGAAAGCTTCTCAATCGAGCAATGTTCATTTTCCACCATGTGTTGTTCAAACTATAGGTAAGCAATTTGCTATAGCTGAGCCAAAGCGTCAAGATTGAGGTTGCCAGATTTTTATACAGTAGAGACTGTCATAATAACATTCAGCGTGCGATGTGAATCACGTAGAGAATTGAGTTTTCATGAGCGGGTGGTTTGAATGGACCACTAGACAAGGTACGAATTTCAGCATTCTGATACATGTTTGTCAACTAAAATTTCACGTAAAACACGATGCGCACAACGAAAATGACGAAAATCAACTCCTTACGAAGCTATTTAATGATTCTTGATGCGTAAATTCAAACCACCCGCTCATGAAAACTCAATGCTCTACTTGATTCACATCGAGCGCTAAACGTTATCATGACAGTCTCTGCGATATACAAATCTGGCAAACTCTATCTTGACACTTCCGCTCAGCTAAGGCAAATTACTTATAAAATGAAAAACACATGGTGGGAAATGTATATTACTCGATTGAGAAGATTGCTGAAACCGTTGTAATGCGCGATTTGACTCACGTAGAGCTTTGAGTTTCTTGTGAGTGGGCAGTTCAAATTCCTCGTAACCAATGTGAAATGAAAACGTTAATATCTTCGTTAGGAATTGGTTTCAGTAATTTTCGTTGCGCGAATCGTGTTCTACGTGAAATTCTTGTTATGAAACATGAATCAGATTGTTTAAAT